ATACTAATAAAAATTAAATATTAATATTAATTTATACTAATTAATAATTTTAATATTAATTGAGACTAATTAAGCCATTAATTGATACTAATTAATAATTTTAGTATTAATTGATACTAATTAAGCAATTAATTGATACTAATTAATTTATAATGGAAAATAATTGTGACAATAATACTTCCATTACATTTTTAGCAAATGTATCAATTTTTATATTAATTGATACTAATTAATACTACTTATATTAACTTTTATTAATGAAATATTTTTTTAAAAAAATTAAAACTGAAAAAAATGACAAAATAATCATTTTTATATCATATAAGGGTAGAAAGGACAATTGTACGCTAAAAAATTATTTTACAGCTTATTAACCAAACACTACTTTGCTGCTTAAATCCATAATCTCACAGCTGCACCAAACAGGTTAACAGCTTATGTTCACAGTTATACGTCATAATCTGTTAAGTTATAATCTATAATCACTTTTTCACAGCTCTACCAAACGGGGCCATAGTATTAGTTAGGAGAATAAGAGGTCCATTAAATTTTAAATTTTGGGAGAAAATGTTCCCTTTTTCTCTGGACTACACTTTGTTTTGACTATTATATCATATGCGACATCTCCATTCTCTTTGTCAACAGATTTGCAGAACGCCATCCATTGTTGAACCTCTTCTCCCACCCCCTCTCTTCAACTTCTCTTTCACCATCCTTTATCAACCATTACCTGATAGGGAGTAAAAAGGCATTGGCTAAAAGAAAAATTAAAGATTTTGTACTTTTTTTATGGTTATTTATAAGTTTTAATCTAATTTAGAGTCTTATTAGAGAGGGAATCGCTCATCTCCATATTACTATCTTCTATAATCCAAATTTCATTTGATGAGCCCTACTGTAGGTTCATAATAATAATTTCATCTGGTCAACCTCATAGTGAATGCAAAAAATTAATTTTATCAAATATCAATAAATAAATAAACAAATTACATTTTATTTTATAAAATAGATGATTTAAATTTAAACTCACAACTGTTGACTATTTTTAAAAAAAAAAATGTAATTTTTACTTGTGTCTAATAATGTCCAATGAAATTAATTTTTTGTACAACTTATCTTTACTAATGAACCTATGAAATGAACTGTTCGAATCATCATTTTGAGTCTAGAGTCAGAAGCCCAAAAGATAAGATATAGAGAATAGTAATATGGAGGGAAGTCATTCCCTATTGTAGTCTTCTATTTTTGGTAACTTGTATAAATATTAGGTTTTTACATTGTAATCTTTAGTTTTTGAGAATATTACTAAGGTTGTGGCCAATTTTGTGAGATTAGAGTTTAGACCATTGTGTTCTTCTTCCCTTTTCTTTTTTTCTTTCTCTTTTTTTTTGGGGGGGGGGGGATCAATTTGTAGCTTCAAAATATGAGAAAAAAATTCGAAGAAAACATAAAATATTTTTTTTTTTTTTTTTTTTTTTTGGGATCAATTCTCTGTACATTTCTGATTTTATGATCAGTTAAATTATTGAACGATTTTTTTCAATCAGAAGAGAGGAACCAATGCTATTGAAATACAACATATATAATAAATAAAATAATATATCTGGGTTTCCAACCAAGTGAGTTTGTTTCAATCAGAAGAGAGGAACCAATATCTCAATTCAAAAGAAAGGGACAAAAAAAAGGAACTATCTAAGCTCACATTATAGATTATTATCTCCACAACTTCAGCATTTGCATTTGCACTTGCACGTACATGTCCATAGTCAAAAAAGTAAAAAAAGAATACCTTTGCAGCGACCTTTTTGTTGCCAATTTTAGTGTGTATCATATAAGCATAGTAAATGACAGTTGCCCCCTTAGGCAGATTTTTAATCTATATGCAATGTGAAAGAGACCATTGCGACATCAGATAGCACAATTTTTGTATTGTGTAGCAATCCATTCTCTTACCTCTTGGTGTAAACACGAAGATACGGCCACCTAAAAGATCTCTGGTGATGGGTTCTTTCTACAAACTCTCTGGAGCCCATATTTCCAACAACTCCCTCTTGCCATTCTCTACATTGCATTGAGCCAGCCAATCTGGAAGGAAGAAAGGACTCCTACCAAAAGTCAGGTTATTTGAAAGAGTATTTGTCACACCCCAAATCCGGGCATGACCGGCCGTGGCCCACAGGGACTTAGCCCAAGGCACACGTAAGCCTAAACACGAATCCAATCACATTGAACAACTGAACAATAGTCCAATAATAAATAACCAAAACTCAATCCAGACATGCCACAATTATAAACGGCAAAATCAACCATAATCAAAAACCAACCAAACTTATGGGATATAAACAACCCACATATCAAAAATAATCCTAAATGAACTTCGATAAGAATAAATATAAATATGCACAAACTTGACATAACACTCTAAACAAAAGGAATGCCCTAGAGGTCCATGCAATTGAGTCCCCGCTACGCCATGTATGATAATTTCTCTCATGTACTTTCAACTGTCATGAGCCATACATTACTACTTTCCTCTCTTGCATTAATACACAACCTAAACCTTCCCGAGACGCATCACAATAAACCAAATAACCCAAATCCCTCTCTGGAATAATCAAAACGGTATCAATTCAAATTAAGGCCAGTAACATGAACACCAATAATTTTCTGGGTACCAATAAAAACAAATAATCTGCCACACATTTCTCAGGCTATAAGCCCCGTTGGATCCAATACCGAACTAAGAGTCATCCTCAGGGTGGCACCTGGGCCTTTTCTCAAAGACGATCCGATTGAAGGTCACCTAGTTGTTTTTAAAGGTCTGTTCCTTACAATCGTTGAGCACTAGAGTCATCACGGCCCAACCCGGATCTGTTCCCTAGTGGCCAGAGTCACCACACACAGTGGAATAATTTCCCTGGACTAAATACACACATGGTCCCAATAATCAATACACATCAGTTTCGCAAAACATGGTAGTTCATCATTATAAACATGAGACCAAAACAAATAGTTTACAGTATGCCAAGTTCACACATGTTTCAGAAATAATTTGATTCAATTGATAATATAATAATTTATCAAAACAGTTTAATCATGAAACAACAATTTAATTTTTCCAACAGTTCAGGGTAGGGGAACATTCATAAAAATATGTAGCATAAAACTACTCACCTGAAACGCAATAATATAATCCTCGAATAGAGTGTAAAAGTCCAACTAGTGGCCTGAACTAAGTATAAAAACTACGCGTCAATAGGAACTAAGTAATCTCAAACTAAAACGCACTAACACGACTCAACCCAACTCACCGTTACTCTTAAATATTACCTAAGTTCATATTCTTCAAGGTCTAAAATCACCCAAGACATAGATTCCGATCGAAACTTAACTAAAAATAACTTTAAGATGAAACAGTGTTTTAAACAAGTTTTCCTAATCTATTCGCTAACTTTGAAAATTACAAAATCCACTCCACGCTATTCGAAAAATTCCAATAACCTCCAGATATGATCTAATATATCCTAAGTTTCAAACCCAATTGGTTTCACTTGATTTGCTTATCAAAATAATTTTTCTACAATTTATTATATCCAAACAGGTTATTTTCTGTAGCACTTTAAAGAAATTAACGGTTCTCTTAATATACACGAGCAATCAATGCAAGGCCAAAAACGTACGAAACTGGACTCATAACCGGTTCTAATGACACTAATTTGATAATTTTTGGATTTATACCCAAAGAGAACAACAATCCCGAATTTACTGTTTCGGACTGGTTTCCTGGACAGATTTGAATACCTCAATTTATATGGATTTCGACTCCCAAAAATTATGAAAAAAATTCAGATATGCAATTCAATGTGTAATTGATCTACTGTAAAAATTTCAGATTAAAATTCATCCGTTTGATATGCTTTCTTGATTTTTAAAGTTAGCGATTATGTGCAGAATTTTTGGACTAAGATTCACACCGATTCTTTATACATGAATTTAACTCCTTAGATTTCTTAACAGCATATATATATACACAAAATACATACACCTACAATCTCTCCATCAATGAATTAAATAACAATATTATTAGGATAAAGAACAAAGAAAGAAGAGAAGAAAACCTAGGAAGCCACACAGCACAACACACCCAAAGCTCTCCTTCTTGGCTACAACAATAATCTTGATGATTGAAAAAACCCCTCTCTTTTCTTCATAAACCCACGGCTGCTAGGGCTGCTAGTGTTGTGGAAAACAATTATAACAAGAGTTAGGGTTTGTGTTTATTTTATTTTATACTAGTTGTGGGCACACTTAGGTTAAATAGATAGATAAATATACAGAATACATATATAAGTTACATGCAATTCAAATGGTAAGAGTCTAACTTATTAATTTTGTGGTCTAGAGTTCAAGTCACACCCTCTTCTCTATTTTTTTTTTTAATAATAAATCTTGCTTCTTGCGACATCAGGTAGCACAATTTTTGTATTGTGTAGCAATCCATTCTCTTACCTCTTGGTGTAAACACGAAGATACGGCCACCTAAAAGATCTCTGGTGATGGGTTCTTTCTACAAACTCTCTGGAGCCCATATTTCCAACAACTTCCTCTTGCCATTCTCTACATTGCATTGAGCCAGCCAATCTGGAAGGAAGAAAGGACTTCTACCAAAAGTCAGGTTATTTGAAAGAGTATTCGAGGAAGGGTGTTAAACCATCCAAATTTAGCAAGGATAAAGGTAAATTACCCTGAGGGCAATGTTTGCATTAATAATACAAACTATTTTCCCTCTTGAGCTTCTACCATCAGGCATTGCATATCCAACCAATTCAGTGACAAAACCTTTCCCACTATAATGATCAGCAATGCCTCTCTCAGCTATCACAGATCCCAAAATAAAGATGACCATTGAACTCATACAGTGACAAATAAGAAGGCTTTGACCCAAGACAGTCAACGGAGAATAATTGCATAATTGGGAAAGAATAAAGATTCAGAAGGTGACCTGAACTTCCAGCCGAAACATGCTCCCATAATGAAATGGAGTATGAAGACTTTGATAACCATTGGGCTTTAAAGTATGTAATATAATCTTTCATCTGTTACAGAAAGCAAACCAATATGTCTCGATAAATCAATTATTAATAAAAGCAGCACTAGCCAAGAAATCTGAATATAGAAAAAGCAAGACACATACAGATCAAGGAATAGGAGTCCAAATTCCATGTAATAGCCGAAGAACATGGTAACACATCTGCCAAATGGCACATTTATCAGAAGCTATGTTGTATACCATAATATTACGAGTCTCTTTAGCAGAAAACTTGGCAAGTATTTCACCATGCAAAATCTACCTGCTGTGCAGTACATAAAGGCCCAACTCCAATGCATGACTTTGGTTTTATAATGATCCGAAGCTGGTAATCCAAACAAATTAAAGTGTGTAATGAAGCAAATAGGTAAGATTATGCCCAATTAACTGTTCGCAAGGATAAAATATTAACACATCTCTTAAATATTTTAAGCTCTGTGACCAGCCTATTCCATCTCAATTTTGTCTTCTATCAATACCAGTTTTACAGGAAACCAAAAAAAAGAAAAAGGAGCCCCCAGATTTTACAATTCCATCTCAATTTTGTCTTCTCTCAAATTTTACAACTTCCTTGTCCAAAATTCTCTTCCAAATTTAACCCCCTCACTAATATTATATATAATACCACAACCTTACATTTATCTTTTCTTATTGGGTTAGTTTCACTTTTATCTCCTAAACTAAATAAAAAAATAAAAATACAACCAATTAGGCCTCAAATCATTTCCATTTTCAAACCATATTCAATCATAACATTCAAGGATTTGAATGCATTTTGAAATCATACATACTAAAAACAGACTTGACTAACTCATGCTCAACAACTACGGTTTTTTTTCCTCCGGTTAAGAGAGGGCTAGTTGGAGTGACCTCAAGTACTTTTGGCCTGTTCATGAATATACCATTACTTCAAGATATCAATAGCATACTTTCTGAAATATGAGGGAACATGAATACATCTGGAATTATACATATATATATATATATATATATATATATATCCATAGTACATATAGAGACAGAAATGAACGAATGAATTTGAACACATACGGGAATTAGAGAAAGAATTGAGGTGAGTAGATGACCTCTGCAATTGCTCTGAGCTTCAATGCCAATTCTCTGTAGAGAAAAAAAAACACATATAAATCTTAGGTCTTCAAGATTGAGAGATCAAGAGAGATTGAGAGACAGAGAGAATGAGAAATCTACAGAGAGATCCATAATTGTGAACCACGATGGCGAGCGTGAGAGAGAGGTAGGGCATGCAAGAGAGAGAGAGAGAGAGCTGGAGCAATTGAATAAATTGGGGGAACAAATTTATATATATATATTAAGAAAAGAAACAAATTGGGAAAAATAAATTAGAATACAACTAAAACAACTTAGTTTTACATCATTACCTCATTCATATTCCCCACCAATAGCTAACAGAACATAAAGAATCTTCATGTTACTGGTGAAGTGACTCCAGTTTGCATGAAAAGTGCAATGCTATTGAAATAAATTGAGGAACAACTAGCTACTAAGTGAACTCCATTTCAAATTTTATGCAAAACGCAACTAGAAAATGCTATGAAAGTTGATTAATCACACCTTTATTCAGTTTCCCTTAATGAAAATATTAAATACATTCCCATTTGATAGAGGTTCCTTTTGGCTCAGAAGGGTGCACCTTTCGCTGTTGCCTGCTGATCCACACACCTAGAATTGAAAGCCTTACAAATCTATTTTACCTTGATATATGCGTGTTCTAAGAATAGCCCAGTTATAATAGTAGTTGTTTTTGTAAAAAATAACTCAAGTGCCTTGATTTTTATGAAAATATACCATTAAAAAAAATTTAAAAATCAATTCCAGTGACAAAACAATACACTAACTGGTATGGAATTCATACCCGTTAGGGTTTAGCTCAATTGGTAAGTCTCAACTTTGCCCGATATGTGAGGCTACACATATCCAGGGTTTTACTGGGTCTCACTGAAGGTGGAGTCAAGGGTTCTTGTTATCAAAAAAAGAAAAAAAGAAACTGGTATGGAATTCATAACTTTCTCTGCCAACCACATATCTAAACAAAGAAATATAGAGACATTCTCAAGGTAGAAATAGAGGCTCATTTGCACAAGTAGCAGCTCTAGGACTTGAACCAGTGAAGTAATGGCAGTTACTTGTTATGCAATAACTGAGCCTATATCTTTGGGTCATAAGCAGTAATGCAATAATCCTGTAACATAAGCAAAAAAAATTTAATTTTTAGATTTGAAGAAGAAATTAAACATCTTGCGCAATTTAGAAGAAATAAATCCTTCTTTCAAGATTCTGAGCATATCAATTGAGAACACAATACCGCCACTAAGGTTCATAAAACTAAGAAGAAAGCATAGCATTAACTGAAAGAATAGCTAATGAAAACAATTCAATTGCTTTCCTGCCATCTTGACTTCCTACCTCTCTCATATATATAAATATACATGTATGTACATTTGTTTTCTTGTCAAATGCTTAATTCTATCTATGACAAATGCCTTACACAAGTTTAAGATTTACACGCATGAAAGATATTAATTAAGCAAACATCTTTAACAAAGCTACGCTAATAGCATGAGTTTAATCTCCCTCATTAACATAGCACATTCGAAGAATAAAGCGATTTAATGAAAAAAGGATTGCCATCAAATGCATAAAATGATTTTCACATGACATAAATTAAAAGACAAAAAGGAAACAGAAAAGGAATACAACCTTTAGAAGGGTAAAGTACAAATCTACCATGGCCACTTGAATGACCACCACCACTGCCACCAAGGCAACTGATGCAACTGATGCCACCGCCACCACATTCATGTTAAGCTGCACTTGCTCTGCCTCCACTGCTACTCAACTTCAAGTTTATGTTCATCACATGAGCACAAGCACTACCATTAACAAAACAATGCCACCTGAACCACCTAATGCTGGCAGTCCTTCCGACAGCACTACCACCATCAAAGTTGCATGCCTTCTCTACCTTTAAAGAATGATACACTCTCTACTAGTGATGAAGGACAACTTAGTATAGATTAAAACAAGGAAAATAGGACTAGGCTTTGTAAAATAATGGATTACAAGAGATACGTTCAGATTATGATGATTAAGGCCAATTTGACCAATTTGAATGAACAGAAATTCAGCAAATAGGAAAAATAAAAGAGAAAAGTACCTTACTCCGTACAGGCCGCTTGAGTTCCACACTCGAGTTAGTAAAAGAATTCAGCAAATAGGAAAAAGAAAAAAAGAAAAGTACCTAATGCTTTAAACAGGAAAAACTTTCATTACAACTCTTAAATCGTGTAGCAAGGGGCCCATTTCATAGAAACTACAGTACACAGATTCCTAAAAAATTCCTATAACCATGACTTTCTAAACTCCTACAACAGCATACCGAGTACTAGTCAAGGATTTAAAATATATACACATATAATAAAATAGAAGTTTCGCAACCAAAAACGTAGCCCTAACTAGTAAAATCACTAAACAGCCATATACTATAACCAATGGAATGTGAAAAAGTCCTTTCTCCTTCTTGTTTTTCCAACATCAACTAGAATTAGAAACTAACAATATAAGTTGCAAAATCAAACTCCTAAGATTTAGAAAGCAATGGACTTTGAACGCTCAAGACTATCCAACTATTGTAACATACAAACAAAAAAAAAATTCTTGGATCAGCATTCAAATAATTTTAAATGAGACTTCACATGTCTTTGATCACTCTCTAAAAAACATAAATGACTGCACTATCCATTGGGTTAAAGATCTCACCCCAGCTTTAAAATTGAAATCTTAAGTCTGAAACTTGAAAGAACACATGGCAATAGATTATTAAAAAGAAGAAAAATCAGACCTTATCAGATTTTGTGTTCTTGGCTGCAGGGTCTAGAAGCACAGATGTGTTTAAAACCTAACAAACAAATTATCATTGCATCGAGCAATCAAACAACCAACAAAAGAAAGACATTTTTTTGTCTTTGGGAAACATACCCCCATATCCGAATAAGGACTTAAACCTTACACCTTTTAGCAACAATAGGAGATTCCACACTAAAGCTAACAGATTGTGCCAATGTTCGAACAATACCTAAACTAGTAGATAGTTAATTACATGTCTACAATAGTATACTCAAACAATCATATGACTAAAAATGAAATATAAAGTTCTTGTCAAGGAAAGAAATTCAAGCTATAATCATAACAAAGATATTAACTATACAGGCATAAAAAATACATGTGAAGAAAGAAAGAGATAAAAAGAAACAAGAAAGAAAAAATGAGAAGTAAAAGAAGAGAACCATATATAGAATGCCAGCATGCTATTTAGCATCCCTGACCAATGGCTAATCCCCCAAGACCATGTAGCAATACGACGATGAAACCTAGCAGTAATTCATATAATTACACAAGATCACCTAATAAATGTCTTGGTCAAGTTAATATTCTTTGGCAAGGAAAAGCATTTAGGGACAATAGGGATATAATACATGACTCAAACACAAGGGAGGTGTTTTAGGTTACGTAAATTAGTTTAAAAAAAAAAAAAAAAAAAAAAAATGACGACTTCTTGCAAAAATACAGTTACTAGGTTTGGACGGAACCAAAAGTGGCCCTAATAAATACTTCAATTGCAAATTTAATGAAGCAAAAGAATATAGGCTCCAAATTTCGTTGAAATTGAATTTTAGGTTTACGATGGTAGTACAATGATTACTACAATTCTATTCATACTTTATGTTTTACTAGTCATTGGTATAAACTATTCAAACAAATCTTATTAAACATGCATAGGAGGAATTAGATTTTATATGAATTTCCATACCAATACTATATGAAAGATCACACAATACTTTGAAGTAAGCAGAGCAAAAAAGATTTAGAAAACAGTTGACAATCAACCTGGGTATTATATGTACAAACACATTCATTTACTAAAACAAAAAGATCTAAACTTGAAAATAAGAAGGAAAAAAAATATACCATCTTCTTCCTATGTATGAAAATAATAGGGATGAAAAGGAGTAGAACCAACCTGTGTCATCTAGTGAATCTAACTAAATCTGAGTCAACCAAACATTTTTTTTTTCTTTTTTTTTAATAATGTCATCATTGACAACTACTAGAAAGAAACAAACATATATACTTGGTTGGTTAGAAATATGACGTGTCACAAAAAATAAAGATTGAAAGGAAGTAAAAACAGAATTGATTTTAAATTTGGTACAAACAAAATGAAATATTAAAGTAGAACTGCATTAAGAAAAGAAAAGAAAAACACTAGTGACGAAAGAGAAATAGTGGAAGAGAGAGAAGGTACATAGATTACAATTCAAATCTATTACAGCAGATCAACAGCCTTGTAGGCCAAATGCAATCTGATGCTTTGTCAACCTTTGACGTTAGGGGCTCAAGTCTCCTTTTGTCTTCCCAGCCGAAGAAGAAGAAGAAGAAGAAGAAGAAGAAATAAAAGTAATGAAGAGAAGAGGTCTATTGCTTTGTCATTTCTACAAAGCAAGTACATGACTGAGATTCTAAGGAAAAAATACAGGAAAAAGGGAAGTGCATCAATGATTTGTTGCCAAAGAAATGCAGGTTATTGGCAAAAAACAGCTTCATTTCTGAGAAACAAGAACAGAATTATAAATTCAAACAATATTCACGATGAACATATACTAACAAATCTTACGTTGACATGACGTCATTTCTACATTTCTATCCTGAGACCCTTTAAGAGGAAATACAAAGCATCCTAAACCCTATTATTCAAGTTCAACTTGTTTAACTTCATTAATACATTAAATCTTCTTTCTGAATATTATCCAACCATGTTTTTTTAATATATTTCATTCACTCATCATTACTTTGGCACCCACCGATAGTAAAGATAACGTAGGTTTTTGATTGGTCACAGCCTTTGCAAATGCATCATCATTTCATCACCGCACCA